CCTCCCCCACCCCCCACCCCCGTTGGTCCCACCTCATTTGCTGCCATGCATGGTCCCACCTCATTTGCTGCCATGCAGCTGAGTACAGAGGCTCTGCCCACTCCCCACTCCGTGTCCCTATTCTGATGTATCACTGATGGGGGCATTGGAAAATGACAGGGATTAAAGGTCGTGCCCGTGGTAAAACTGTTTACTTTTTTGGCCAGAAATCATGATGGCATCTGGGAAGACTCAGGGCATGGAAATCACAAAGTTTTCTTAAATCCAACCGCACAATTAAGACACTCAATTTCACCTTGGGAGACTTTTATATTTTTTAAATTAAGGTAGGCAGTGAAGGTAAGGTCTTAGTAAAAAAGAATACTTGACTTGAAGTTGCAAACCTGGATAAAGGACTTATTCGCTTACATTTTTATTTAACCTCTTTGACATTTGAATTCTTCTGAGAAGAACATTAATAATACACACTTCAAACAAGTTTGTGAAGATTCAAAAGGAGATTTATACAAAAATACACAGCTCAGGATCTGGCACATTCAAGGTGCTTAATAATATTTTTTCAACCTACATTCGTATACCTGTTTCTGACTGGTTATCATAACTTGCCATCTGTGAAATTATCTCATTCAGAATTAGAATAGCACACCTAAAACTTGACAAGCAAAAGAAAAATTCTTGTGTATTTACCACCTCGATACTAGAAATGTCTACCAAATTGGGCTGGGGGTCATCTGGCTCCACATGGGCTGGAGATTCACTTATTTACCCAAGTCTGATTTTCTGGGAGCACTGTGGGTTGTATTTAAGGGGTACAGGAAAATAGGAAGGTAGAAGGTAAATGGGATATGAGCTGACTCCAAATGTGGGTTTAGCCAAGGTGTTTGGGAAGGACCTTTACCCTCCTCACCACGAAGCACCCACTTTCTTGAATCAAATTACTAGCAAAGTTTACTCTTGAATCAGCTAATTAGCACAAACCGGCCCCCCTCTTATTCATGGGACACCCTGGCCCCAAGCGTGCGGGTGTTCATGACACCTTTGTGCTACAGTTGTCCGGGAGTCTATGAATGATTTCTTCTTTCCCTCTTCTTCTGTTCTGCAGCAATGGAATGGCAGGGACACAGCCCTCATGGTCACCCGGGTGGTCAACCACAGGCGCTTCTCGGCCACTGTCAGCGTGGCAGACACTGCCCAGCGCAGTGTCAGCAAGTACCGCTGTGTGATCCGTTCTGATGGTGGGTCTGGTGTCTCCAACTACGCAGAACTGATTGTGAAAGGTGAGTGTTCCCATCCGTCCTGGCTCAATTACTGGTCTTCCTCCTGTCCCTACACAGCCTGGCGGTACTGGGAGGAGTCAAAGCCCCTTTTGTCATTGGCTGTTTCTCTTCCACATTCAGTAGAATGAGACATGGGAGGTAGTCGCCCCTTCCTTCCTTACCACATAGCCCCTCAAAAGACCAAACTGTTAGAAAATTATGCATCATTATTCAAAATTGAGTTTTGCATATAGAATTCATTACCAAGAAGACTGCAAGGTATATAACTCAGAAAGCATCTCCATATTTTGCCTTATTTTATATTTAATGTTACAGTGAACAAATATTCTTGTGCTTTGGTGGTGTTCTATTGTTGTATTCTCATGCTATTGTTTCTGAGAGATTTTTAATTGAAAACTCAATACAGTATAATGACAATATTTTGCAAGGACTTTTGAAATAAACAATCTCCCACTCCAGTGGCCTTTATTCAATTCTTTTCAATTTTCTTCATCACCTTGAGGTATTGTTTACATTCTTTCTATTAAAATATGCATGTTGTTTCCTTTTCTGCTTCTTCCAAGAAGCTGAATAACCCATTTATTTTTGAAACTTGATGTCATCTTTGTTATCATGCTTAATGGTCGTATACTATTTCAATTGAATTTTCCTATTTTAAAAAATACCTTCTGTATGCAGTCATGTAGGTAATTCCAGATGTTTTTGTTTTTGATTTTTCTTTTATGTGTGTAACAATTAACACCTCAATTGAGTTTTTCCAAAGGGAACATTTTTATCCTATTGAGTCATATTATTTCCTTAGGATAAATTCCCTAGAGGTAGAGTTGGTAGGCCAAAGAATATGAGCATCTTTATAGATTTTTCTTTGTGTTGCAAGATTGCTTTTGCAAAAAAGCAGTTTGACGATTTACACTCATAACAGCAGTGTATGGATGTACTCGTTTTACTAACATTATGTTCACCGACAAAAAATTTAATACAGCATAATTTAGTGAATAAAATAATGTAGCAGTTCCTATTATCCCATCAATAGAATGATACCTGGTGTGTTTGAAGGGAAAAATCATTGATCGTCCTTCGGAAGGCTCCTGAGTTGGTTTCCTGGGCCTAAGTTAAATTGGTGTGAAAACCTTGATCTCTGTTTGCTGACACCCTCCCACACACACCCATACCTGGTAACCTGGGTCAGAGTGGGGTCTACAGTCTGGGACTCTGCCCTGGGTTCTCTTGACTCTAGGTGGACGACATTGGCATGGCTGGTGATATGTCATTATTCAGGTCTCAGTGTAAGTGTCATCATGTCATTTTTTCCCAGAGAACATCCCTGACCCCGTCTTCCACCTCTCCTCCTAGTAGTCACATTTTGTCACATCACCGTGTCTACCTCTCACCACACCTCAAAATGTTGGTTTTCCTGTTTGTTAACTTGGTGAGTTTTCCTTTATCTTTTATTTATTTATTTACTTTTAATTTTGCCATAGAACACAGGTACTTGCCAGAGAGAGACAGCGAGAGGGGGAAGGGAGTGATAAATCACCTTCCAGAGTGATGGCCACTCTGTCGTCCCTTCTCCTTCCCTCTCCTCTTGAGAGTTTGGGCCCACATGCACACCCCACGTGCCAGTCATGATTTTCAAACTGCCAGGTCCAGGACTCGGACCACATAGATGACCATGTGGGATCCAGCATTTTAACCTCCATGCCACCTGCCCAACTTGGTGACTTTTTCATCTCCCCTTTTAGGATAGAAGCTCTGTCAGAAAAGGGACATCATCTGCTTGGTTCTAAGTTTCCACATTTGGCATGGGGCCTGTCATAGGTTCTGAGTATGTGGGGCCATGTGCATTATCCAGGGTGTGACTGGTCCTGCATGATCATTTTTTAAGTCTCAGCCTTAAAACATTTGTGGAAAAATGGACGAGTGAATGGTTTATTGACCTCAACAGGAGTTAATTTTAACACCATAATGCTAGGATACTTAGGCTGAAAACCAACAAATTAGGCGGTCATGAGCAAAACAACTAATAAAAAAAGATCTTTGAATTGTTTACATTGAAGGCCATTAATATATAAAATAAGCATCATTTTGATCACATTAGCCTCATATCTTTGCATTTTTTTTTTTTTTTTGGTGCCATTAGATTAACTCTGGGACACAGTGGCCTTTGTAGGCCCTTTCAGTACTCAGTGAATGTGTAATTTACAGAGCTGTCCCCCTGGAACACTCATTATACATCTTTTGTGGCTGGCCTCCACGCTGGGTTGGGAGCCACGTGAGAGAATGCATTGTGTTCTCTCATGCCCTGCATGGTCTGGCCCGCACTTTCCACATGCCTGGCCCAAAGTCAGCGATGAGAGGATAGGGTGAATGACTATGGGAGCTCATGTACCACCAGAACTTTTTATGCACCAGAAAATGCTTGCTTTATTCTTTCCCTGTGTCCTACCTTCAGTTGTAGGATGGGGAATGCTGAAAATCCAGACCCAGAGGCTATTGGGGCAGAGAATGACATGAATTTTCATTGCCTTTACTTAGAGGAGTTGCCATGATTTGTCCGGTGCTGGCTTTGCATTCTGGGCTAGCGCTGCCTCCTGCCCAGCCCTGTGTGCACCAGCCAAGTAGGTCAGTGTCATCTGGCAGCCACTGCTGCTCCGAAGTCTTCATCGGCAGCCCCGGCCACTCCAGGTTAAAGCTGCACTGGGCAGAACCAGGTCTTCTTCACAGTGGCCAGTGGAGGGTTGATGCTCTCCATTTCGTTACACCTTGGTGAAATTCATCCGTATTTTTGGCATGGGATATCACTTTTTTTTTAATTGCCCATTTCCCCTTGTTTTAATATTCAGTGGGTAGTAAGCTAGGAGTTAAGTCCCTTGAATGTAAAGAAGTCCCTTCACATATGTTACCTTATTTTATCCTAATTGCAGCTCTGCAGCTTGGTTTTATTTTAACTCATTTTATGGCTGAGAGAACTGAAATAGCCAAGCTGAGAAACCAAAGGAAGCCCTAAGGGTTAGAGCAAAGTCCTGCCTGGATCTGCTTTACTCTATTTCAGCCGTACCCCGAGGGCTGGAGAATCATAGCCTTGTTGGCAGCTGGGATCACAATGCTGTGAACAGTGCTTGGAGAGCCAGCAAGCAGTTAAGGCTCGAGATGAGTCCCTGTGCCTGTCTGGCTAACTCACCACATTCACTCATGCCTGCCCTCTCCCACTCCCAGTCTAGAAAAACAATTTTTTTGAGAGGTTTTTGCTATAGGGCACGTGTGCTCGCCAGAAAGAAAGAGACAGAGAGACAGAAAGTGAGAAATCACCCCCTCAGGGAGGATGGCCACACCATGGTCCCTTCTCCTCCATTCTCCTCTTGGGATCTTGGGCACTCATGCACAGGAGCCCAGCGTGAGTTTAAGGCACTGGGTCTGGGACTCAAACTGCAGTCGACTACATGGAAGTCCAGTGACCTAGCCATTACGCCAACTGCTGGTCCCCCCTGCCTAGAACATTTTTTAGCCTTCCTTACACATACATCTGTACACACACACACACACACACACACACACACACACAGTGCTAAAGAGTCAGCACTATTCCAGCAAAACAAGAAAATGAAATGCTGGGACACCCAGAAGGAGAGGCAGTCACCTTTGAGTGTGTGCCTAGGACTCTATTTGAAGGTGCAAATTAGTGTGTTTGGGGGGAAACTGCCTCTGAACAGTGACTCACTTACCTCTTAAGAGCCCTCTGCCTTTGCAAAGTCAGGGTGCTTTAGTACTGGAGTATGTGCACTTGTAAAATAAACCAAGAGAAAAATATTAACCTTCCTTCTTTAGGAGAGGAGGAACTCTGGAAAACAAAACAACAAAGGTCTTTAGGGCCTAGTGCTGTCCCAGGAGTGAAGCTGTGATCAATTCCTCTGTTTGGTTCTGATTCAGCAACAGGAGAGAACTCTGAACTCAGGATCCTTGGTTTAAATCCTGGCTTCACCTGGTTCCAGCTTTGTGACCTTGAATGTGATATAAGCCCCTCAGAGCTTATCTAGGAACTTATCTAGCATGAGTTTCCTCAGAGGGCATTGTGAGGATTAACTGCAATTAGCAGACGTAGGAGCTCTTAGAACAGTGTCTCCTAAAGTGTCTGTTAAATAAAGTAAATGAATTGCCTCTGTGGTGGGATTTACCAGGTAAAGGAATAAGGGGGTGAAGGACTCTGGGTGGGGACAGAACACCTGACCAGGGCACGTTTGATTAGTACCTTTGCGATCCCAGAGAAAGTATGGAAGGCCTCTGACAAGTGGAGTCTGGTACTCTCTCCTTACAGAGTGATAGGGGAAAGGAGGGAAGAAATAGGAAAGTGTGAGCTTAAGCACATTTGAGTATGAGGTTTGCACAGATCAGAATTCCCTGGGTCCCATCCTATGTCTACCACTGATGAGTCAGGAAAGCTTAGCCGGGAACCTGGGGACAAAGGAAAAGTAGCTGGTCCTGCTTGTCCTCAGTCACCTGTCACAATGGCCTGTCCCATCTTCTGACATTGTTTATTTGGAACTCAGGCCATGCTGTGGTTGGCCCAGAGCACCTCAGGGCCTAAGGGTAAGGGAGCTGGAGGCCTCTGTAATGGCTTCTGCTGCAATTGCCCATGCTGAGTTGAGCTGTAGAGGCCCAAACAGGTCTCTGTCTTTCCCCAAACAGGAGTGTCCATAGCTGGCTGGCTTGCAGATCATGTGCTTTCCTGGGATGGAAAAGATCAGTGCTTTGGATGGTGCTACCTAATTTGAGTGTAGGTGATATCAAATTCTCTGGGCAACACACAGACTGAAATGAAAGCAAATTGGAATTACCTAATTCTGAAGGGCTGTTTATTGAGCTGCGATAATGTTCCTGGGTATACATTAGATTACTCTGTAATTGAGGTTTCGCTCAATTGACAGTCCAGCCCCTCAACCTACCCGTTCCAGACCAGTGCTCATAAATGTACTTATTCTCTTCCCCCTGTTTCTGGTTTTCTG